TACTGCAGGCGGCTGATACATGATATAATGCAGGTCGAGGTGCAGACAAAGGTACAATGCTTGTTTTGCTTGACTTCTCTCGCGCGTTCGACACAATCGACACTGATTTGCTTTTGGCCAAACTTAAATAATACGGTTTCAATGATTCTGCTGTTCGTTGGTTTTCAAGTTATCTGAAACCTATCTAAGAGTTTAAGAGTTATTTTATCTAAGAGTGGCATAAAAAAAGTACTCTGCGACTTCTCCTGTTTATCGTGGCGTACCACAAGGATCTATATTTGGGCCTATACTGTTCATTTAATATACTGCTGATCTACCAAGCTGTGTACTAAACTGTAATCATCACTTATACGCCGACGACTTACAAGTTTATAAATTATTTAAGCCTTTTGAGACTAATCTAGCGGTGAATGCAATTAACAGTGATCTAGATCGCATGTTTCAGTGGTCGGTGAAGAACGGTTTATTACTGAATCCAGCAAAGACTAAACTGATGGTCTTAGGCACTGAAACTCAAATAAAACGAATCAAAGCCCATAAACCTGTGCTGAAAGTAAAGTCTGATGCAATCGAAAAAGTAAGTGAGGCTAGAAACTAGGGTGTTTTATTTGATTCTAACTTGAGATTTGAGAAGCATGTATCAAACACTGTCAAACAATGTTTTTATAGGCTAAGGGTGCTATATGAAATACGTAAGTATTTGAGTGTGGAATTGCGAATTCACCTCTGCGAGACACTAATATTATCTAAATTAAACTACGCGGACACTGTCATTAGAGATTGTCTTTTAACTAGATCAAAAATGCTTATACAGCGAGTACAGAACGCTTGTGCCAGATACTGTTTTCCAATTCCCCAAAGAGCTCACGTGACACCCTATCTAAATAGAAGTGATATGCTAAATATCGAAAACCGTCGCAAAATGCATTTTGTGAGTTTGTTGTTTGGAGTTATACAATGTAAGCGCCCCATATACTTGTATGAGAAGCTGACTTTCTCTGAGCGTCCTTTGAGGATATCATCCCGTATGAAGTGTCCCGCACATTAAACTAGTGCGTTTCGAGGTAGTTTTCGTTACGCAGCGACCAAATGTTGGAATAACATTCCTCCTCCAATAAGGAACTCCAAAACGGTTTGCACTTTGAAAGTTAAATACAGGAAATATTTATTGGATGTGCAAAAGTTGTAATGAGGGTCGCTAGAACGCTATGGTTGATTTTGAGCACCATTTCATACGCTGTAAATTTTAGTTAAATTATTTTTTTTTGGTTTTTTATTTTGTTTCAAAATATTTATCCAATTGATGTCAGTAATTTGTCATTTGTATTTAAATCTTTTATTCTTAATTTTTATTTAAATTATTATCGATGACCTTAAATGTCATTTAATTTAAGAAGGCTGCTGCTGAAAATCAGTGTCGTGGCACATGTTGCCTCGACATATACTGAGCAGTGGCCTGTTTGGTACACAACCTATAAGTAACACAATAAGTTTTTTTTTGTAATTTGTGCCAAATAAACGTTTTTATTATTATTATATTCAGTTGTTGGCGACGCGAATCCTATCGGACCAGCCGCACACACGAATTGCCTCGACCACACCTTCGACCATCGCTACGAAACTTCGTATATGAACGAGATAAATGCAGATAGGGGGAAATCATTAGAAGCCTCCGTAACGAACTATCGGGCTCAGTGACGATAGACGCTGCGTAGCTCGACGGCTTTTTGACAAGCCGTAAAAGGCTTTTAGGGGCAACGATAGGTGACAATAAATTTGAGTGTGCAGGTGAAGGTAGTACAACCACGTACTTAGCGCATTTTTTTTTATAAATTTATAATAGTCAAAGCTTCGTCGCGCAGGTGCGCACGAACCATGATAATGGTGTCGATTCTGGCAGGATTCTCTAAACTTAAAACTAAATTTAACATCAGTCTGTCCTTTTCATTCTGTATAGAGAATAACAAAGATACACTGTTGTCAAATTAAAGTTTAACTTTAGAGAGCCATGCCAGAATCGACATCAATAATAATAATGTGCGGCCTGTGCAGCAAATCGGTTTCCACGTAATCGAATATGATCTGGAGCGCACCAAGGTCGTGGTGTTCTCTGCACCATCTTCGGTCTGTCACAGCTGAAAGTCGAACGGTTAGACTACTTATGGTATATTATTTATTAAAAAACCCACTTTTAATTTTCTTAAAAATATATTTAATATATTTTTCATAAACAATAATGTATAACATTGTAAATCTTCACAAGTGAGAGTAAATATAAATTTATAATATTATTATAAAAACCCACAGAATTTTTTCGCTACAGTTTCAAAATAAATTAAAGTAAGGCATTAGTTATGACTCTAATAAATTTCATCATATATTATGCATAAATATTAATCTCCAGGTACTCTAAAACATAATAATGGCTGCAAAAATCTTTACAATCCGAAAAAAATATGACATGGCCATAAAGAGCTATCCTTTTTAGGTAGTTTTTTATCACTCAGTTTCTGTAACACCCGAGGTTTATTAAACGAATTAAATCAGGTTAATTTTTATTCGTTGAAATTAGATTCCAAGTTACAATACATACAGACTTATATATTATATATATATAATTTCATTCGAATGTAAAAGGTATAGGTAAATAATGGCAAGAATTTGTTCTTTCCTGGCCAAGATTTTATTAAAAAAGAAGAGTCATTTTTGCGACATGTATGGAAATATCACACTCAATCTCTGATTTTCCGTCACATACAAACATCACTGCTTAGAAAAGAAAATAAGTTAGCAAAGTTTGTCAGTCAGTGAGACCTCAGTGGGCCGATGGTCCAGAGCAGGCTCTCTCTTTCTGGTGGACAAAGTACATAACATTAGAAAAGGATAGAAACGAATTTGAAATTGTGAAAAGGTTAAGTTGCCCACTAAAATTGACGCTCTCTTAACCAATGAACGGTCTTTATATATATATATATATATATATATATATGAATGTAAACGTATGGCACGATATGTTAATATAAATCCTTAACCTAACACTTACATCAACTATAAAGTTTATCCGATATAATAGGTATATATGTTATTTGTCTTCGGAACCAACATACACAAAGTACAGTGAATTCAGCTCAACGCATTGGTTTAGAGTAAGTATATCTTAAGTATCTAACATATATAGCATATAAATCACAACAGTCTCACATTTTCAACTCCATGTTCGAACCATAATATAAAAAAAATATTAACATATACACTCTAGGTCATTTAATATTGTATATTTGAAAAATGCAATAATCAAAGAAACAACGAAACTATTAAAGTCTTCCCTGTTCAAAGATCTATATATTCTCATATCATATATTTACTATATCGCTACATCAATATCACATACATAGCCCTTACTTCCTAAACAATTGCACATGGGCTCGTCCTGCGAGATACGTTCATGCCTTCATAATTACAAATATTATGGAAATCACGACCGCTTCCATACGATGGGATGTTCTCACAGAGACTCACATAAACAAAGGTACTATCTTTCAAACATCACAATATAAAATGAGCTTTTACTTCTACAGAACCCCTAATCAATATACACTTTAATGTCCTAAACTTAAAGACGCATCAAAAATTCATCGAAAATGCATATAAAACTATAGTCTATGCTTCCTTCTTGAATAACACCAATAACAAATACACGGTAAAATCACAAAATATCAATGTTTTCCAAAGAATGAGATGAAGCATTTTTAAATAATAATAATATCGTCCAGTCGCTGAGCTGCCGCCTTATAGACACCCGCAGCCTACAAACTTTTTATCAGCCCATAGTTCAGATGGACTCTTTAATCAATATGAAATGCGAGTAAAAAATATTCAGGTGACCAAGTAAACTCGCTTACAACCAATTAAACTCGATGTAATCATTTAATAACTACCAGTCAATAAAAAGTTTGCGATCTGTTAGGTCTAATAAACAATGTTTATTTTTGTGTTTGTCTCCTATACATTGCAAGCAATGCCTTTCACAAAACATTGTAAATATTGAGATCTATTCGATGCAAGTTGCTCCTAATTTGCCTCAGACACCTCACTAAACTAAGTACTTCATAATATCACCGAGATATAATTCCGTATGAAACACTGAATCTTTATCAATTGTTATTTTTTTTTCCTTCGACCAACATGCGAGATATACCTAGTGTACCAATGAATTTGACTCTTGCATCGGTATTGAAATTCCAGACTCATCAGAATCTGATATCTTCAGTGTATAGATCAGAGTGACTTGCTTGTTTCAATTATTCACAAATCTTAAACAAATAATTAACACTGGAATCCAGGAGAATACAAGATTTATTTTTAATGCTTGCTAACAAAAATCCAGTATTTGATCAGTATCATGACCGCCAGACAAACACAACCAAAAAGCAGATTTAAAAGCGGAATGATCTTCTTCAGTTAGTATAGCCTCATTTCACTTTGATGATTCAGTAATTGAATTGCATTAGATGGTATATGATAAAGCCTACATATCATTGATAGATAATATGTACACCACACAAACATTGCTGTATTTTTTACACCAAAATTTCCTTGTATAACTGTGTCAAGCTACCAAGTTCCCCAAGACAACACCTCTTCAACCCGCAGTGTTGAGGGAAATTATTGAGTGTGTGGTTTAATTGCTCAAGCTGCCAGTTTCCCACCGCGTTTCCGAATAAACTTTTCAGCTTCTATTTGTATAGGATTGGTGGAAATCATTGAATGTGTGGTAGAGGTGTAGATTTCTCAAAACGCAAAGTCCCCTAGATGTTTCTGTGTAGACAGCACCACTTCCACCTGCATAGTGTTTGGGACAATGCATAGAGTGTGTTGTAGTAGCTAGACTGGCAAATTTCCTAGAAGTTTCCGTGTGGTCAACACCGCTTCAATCTGCATAGTATTGGTAGGCAATCATTGAGGGTTGAGAGTGGAGGAGCGGCTCGCGCGGAGCGGCACTAGTCGGCGCGTGCGGCAATACGCGCGGCGATCGCGGCCGTCAGCGCTGAACCCTTACCGCTGCCGTCTTCCGCCGCCAGTAGAGAGAACTGAGAAACAATAACACCTTCATAAGAAACGGTGGATTAAGGACATTCAATGTTTTTCTTTTGCGACAAATTCCCAGAATTTCGCGACGCCCTCAGAAGTCTATAAAATCAAAATCAACTTTGAAAGTAATGCAGGTTCTTGTTCTTAAATCGAAAGTCCTAAAAATAATATTTTTTGACGTTATGATATAAAGATTTCGAAGACATAGCGATTAAAAAGATTGCCTCTGAATCTTATAGTTGAAAAATTTCGCTATAGTGGATCTTCGGATGGGTAAGCAAAAAATATTCCCAATTTTTTCTTACGGATAAAGATGATAAGTTAGCTTTTGGTTCTGACAGCAGCCGTAGTCGTAGTTGTTAGTACTTGCTAAAACCGATTTGGGTCATGACCCAAACCAGATCTATATAATATAGAAGATCCTGTAGTCTATATAGAAAGCTCGTTCCTAGCAGTCGTGAGATAAGAGAATATCGATATTCGGATACCCATCCGAAAAACTCACTCCGACTTTCATCACAGAAAAGATGATTAATAAATCCGTTGACTCTGACCGCAGCTGCAGTCATATTAGGGCCTACATAAACGAATCAGAACCACAGAAGTCACCCGAGACCTGCGTAAACATCAAGGAACTTCTAATCTTCTTGGGAGAGCTGAGATGGCATGACTAAGAACCCAGTCATGAAAAATGGACATTAAGTGTCGAGTTTTGGAAAAGATCGCAGCGTTTAGAAGAAGAAAACGAACTGATTTAAGACGTGACTCTTTCTCCCTAGACCTGATCCTGTGCTCTGTATCTACGTATGTAAGGCTCGTTGTTGGTATTGTAATTAAAGATAGCGTACCCTGTGTTGCGGCGCGAGCAGGGCGATGTATCGGCGCATGAGGGCCTGGATGCGCGGGTGACGCTTGTACACGGACCCGTCCACCGCCACCACCACGTACGGCCGGGACATGCGGCGCAGGAGCGTCGCTATGCCTGCAACACACATTATATGCACGTCCTCAGTTACCCATCATATGAAACTGTTTTATTTTTTTAACTCAACCTGATTTTAAAGCGGTTGGCTAGACCGATAGAAGACTACTGAATCATGAGCATGCTTTAGGAAAGGGTCACACTAGTATCGCACTCTTTTAAAAATCTATAAGGAAAATCTTCAACTAGGATCTCAATCCATAAAAACCTTATTTTCCAGGATTTGCTTCGGTAAGCGTGACCAAATCATTTCTAAAGTTGGTGACTGACTATACTGCGAGACTATACGATACGAAGACGATCCAGTGACAGTTAAACATTTAAAGTATATCGTAAACCTCGTTTACATTCAGTTCATTTGTGCGACAACTAGCAAATATATTGTGTAATGAGCATGCGACCTAGTAGAATTAATTTTAACGCTCACGCTGTCCATAGAGCCGTCAAAACCATTGTGGGGACGTCGAAAGTTATCAGTCGAATTTTAAAGCAACATATGCTGTAGTGGAAATCCAATTTTCTCTAAAAATTTCTACAGTAGTGATTTAGCGTTATATAGCAACATAAACGGCAATGACAGTAGCGGTAGGCTGAATGTAAACAGGGTACAAGTAACACGCTACTCACAGACGGAGACTAGTTGCGCGGCGCGGTTGGAGATGATGGCGGCGACATGCTGCGCGACACGCGCGTCTTCCGTCGACAGTCGCACATTTCCTCCGAGCGCTGCCTCCAGTATACGCAGAGTATCTGCGCATTCACCTCGTGAGCTCTCCCTGTGTAAATCACACAATGCTGTCAGATTGGGGCTATTAAAAGCAATGAGAGAATAATTGGAGAGAAAAATGTTGAGTGAGGGAATTGAAAAATTCTTATAGTTTTTGATGTGTAGAACGTTTTGAGAGATGGAGCGTTCTTTTGGGGATGGAACCTCCACCCTATAGAAGATCATAGTAAGACAACACTACCTTTTGATGGTGTTGTGTTCCGATGGGATAGGGTTATGAGGTGGGCAAGGTGAGAAAGGCTGGAGCAGCTCACCTTCTGCCGCATCATCTATCTTCACAACTGGACTTCACTTACACTTAACATCAGGTGAAGTGGGGAGTAGTGTAATATGTGATCTGATCGTAGACAGAGAATACACTGAGCGGCATTTGCCTGAAATTGACGAAAAAAGTGGCAGAGGTGCGATAATCACAGAATCAATTGAATTGAATTCGTGCAGTTAATGTCTTTAGGAACTGTTGGTTTCCCGATCGGTCGGTCACTCCCACACATATATGGCCAATTTTACTTTCCACTTTGACAGTGAAAGCTCAGTCCATTCTCTGTATCCGTATCTATACCTTCATGCCGTGTTCCGAGTGGGGTAGGCAGAGAAGGTGGGTGGTGAGTTCATCCTCTCTATCTATGAATGTTCACACAAAGTTTTTCGATTGCGCGAGTGGTTAACTCGTACGGTCTGAGACTTTCACAATTATCGATCATTGGATGGTTGACCTAAAATTTAGTATCTCTCACTATTCCATTCTTCAGAAGGTTCGTTAATCCATCGGTCCTAGCTACAATCGTTAGCGCCCCCTAATAGTACCCTCGTGGTGAGTCACGTCCCTCACTCCCTATTCCATCTTTAGGGACATTAATAGGCTGATGGTGATGGTGGAGATAATACAATGTACGCACTCCTCGATGGCGCTGATGTCGGCGGTGTGCAGGGAGGCAGGCGCGGGGGCGGCGGGGAACAGCCGCGCGCGCGCGAGACCCGCCAGGGCCGCGCGTAACACTTCTCCCAGGTATTTGCCGCCGATGTACTTCTCGAATCTGCAGAAAAATCACCATTTAATATTATCATAAAATTAATTTATTGAAGTGTACTCCTTAAGAATCGCTTTGCAAATATAAGGGGCGCGGTATGAGAAAAATGTGAGGAGTAAAATGTATCGATGAATGACATTAATGACCTCGTTACATTTTTGTGCGCAACCTCATCTGCGCACCTTTCACTTTTAGCCATGGCAACGGATAAAAACCATTAAGTTGTCACAAATGTCAATAAAATAAATAAACTAAAAATAGATAAAATCGGAGCAAAATTAATGAAAACCAATAAATAACAGAATATAGAGAAATGCCGGTAAGTGTCCAGCACTCTGGAATAGTGATTTTCAGTACAGATGGAATTATAATACATATTTACAAAATGATGACTAGTGTTTGATATTTTTGAAATTGTGTGTTTCCAGAAATACGTAATAAAATATATGATGAATATCGCTGATGTTAGATGATAAAATGTGTGACATGGAACCTATGATAGTCGAAACCATGGGACGATTCCTGAGGTATCTCTACTTGTAACCGACTTCTTCGGACTTGATTTTGTTTTGTGTCTGTTCAAAGACAATCGTTTTTAGAGTGTAAACTCCGGTCGTGCGTCGGAGCTAACACACACAATTTTTTGTATTTATTTCTTAGGTTTTCACGCACATCACTCATTAAATAAAACTAGTTTTAACGGGTTAATGCACGAAATTTTATTTATTTATTGACGTTTCACAGCCTTTTCAGATACTTTTATGTCAATAAATAAATAAAATTTCGTGCATTAACCCGTTAAAACTAGTTTTTTATTTAATAATTTATTGCTCATTTACCTAATGAGAAGTTACATAAAGTAACATGAACCGCTAACAGAAACTGGCAATCCGGATCTTGTGTAATTCGATCGTTCAACAAACTTAACCATGACATTGTGGGTTACCTACAATGCGAAGAGATGGCGCTGCCTTGCAGCCTAAGGCTAGAGATAATTCGACACGGCCGTCAGGGCTGCGGTAGCATAGTGGTCAGTGCATTCGCCCGGATAGCGAAGGGTGCGGGTTCGAGTCCCGTCTGTTGCCTGGTCCGCGTCGATTTTTTTTTAGTAAAATTTTCTATAGATTCAAACATCTAGCAGTTAAATGCTTAAAAAATAAATAACAAAACTTAACCATGTTTACGGATACTCTGACTTCTAAAAGCAACTGTGCGTGATCAGCTTCCAAACAGATACTTCTAGGTGCAGGTTAGTTAGTTAGTCCCACATAACCCCGTTGCCACTCCCAGGTGGCGGGGTATGCGTCATGCATTTTCCTGACGAAAAAAAAAAAGGTGCAGGTTACGGAGCTCGATTACGCAATTAGTTAGCACGTCAAATTTTATTCTCATTCCATTTCCAATCGTTTACTTCGTCTACCTTCTTCGATGCATATGTCGTCATCTTTCCGTGTCATCCGGTAAAACATCCATAGTTTGACATCACCATCGCCAGCGGTAGAGACAAGTATAGATTTAGTGGACTCACGTGAAGGATGTGGCGAGCAGCGAGTGCGCGTCGACGTCGCGGTCGACGTCGGTGCGGATGAAGTCGAGGCAGCCGTTGTCCCCGAAGGCGCCCCACTCCACGTCCACGCACACGTCGTGCACGCGCTCCATGTATACATTGTCGACTCACGTGAAGGATGTGGCGAGCAGCGAGTGCGCGTCGACGTCGCGGTCGACGTCGGTGCGGATGAAGTCGAGGCAGCCGTTGTCCCCGAAGGCGCCCCACTCCACGTCCACGCACACGTCGTGCACGCGCTCCATGTATACATTGTCGACTCACGTGAAGGATGTGGCGAGCAGCGAGTGCGCGTCGACGTCGCGGTCGACGTCGGTGCGGATGAAGTCGAGGCAGCCGTTGTCCCCGAAGGCGCCCCACTCCACGTCCACGCACACGTCGTGCACGCGCTCCATGTATACATTGTCGACTCACGTGAAGGATGTGGCGAGCAGCGAGTGCGCGTCGACGTCGCGGTCGACGTCGGTGCGGATGAAGTCGAGGCAGCCGTTGTCCCCGAAGGCGCCCCACTCCACGTCCACGCACACGTCGTGCACGCGCGCGTGCGCCGCCTCCCAGTGCTGCACGCGCTCCGCGCGCTCCATGTAGCACCCGTTCGACCCCGTGCCCAGGATCGCCGCGATCTACGATACATCGCTTTGTTACATAAGTCACGGAATCACCTGCCCGCTTGTAGGAAATCACTTCTATTACCATATTATATAAGAAAATGTTCAACTTCTTCCTCGCGGAAATCCTCACTTGTAAAAAAGAACTTTAACACATGGTAATGAAAGAGTATCTCGACTTGACTTTCAGGAAATAATTCTGCGGTGCAAATTGCTACAACTTCACGGGATCGGGGAATAATGTCGGCAAGATGAGAACGAATTCGACCGCATTAAGTCATTCTATATCAGACTAGTACACATCAGCAGCTGCCAGAACTGCTTGTTCAATGTTTTACTATAAGCAAGGTAGCTATAATATTTGTTGAATCAGACAGCCAATCAGAGAACGATTCATATGCCCTACACCAACCGGTAGATCTCAAAGGATGGAAACCATTACTTATCTATATATATAAAACTCAAAGGTGACTGACTGACATAGTAATCTATCAACGCACAGCCCAAATGCAGGTAGATATTATGACGTAGGCATCCGCTAAGAAAGGATTTTGATCAATTCTATCCCCAAGGGCATAAAATAGGGAATGAAAGTATGTATGAAACCTTGTTAATTTTAAACCGATCAGGCTGAGACTTTGCATGCAGGTATAAGAAGAATCATAGATGAATGTCATTGTGTATAATACAAGCCTGAGAACAAAAACTGTAGTCTACACTTCAGCTCTACACCGAAGCGAAGCGAGGGCGGGCCGCTAGACATAACTAAATGCCTAATAATCAGATTTCTCAGCTAAAGATTGAACGCATAAACATCTCACCCCAACAGCGGGGTCGATGTGCGCGCCGGCGACGAGGGTGCCCGTGGTATCGTTGAGCAGCACGCGCACGGTGACGTCGAGGTCCCGCGCGTGCAGGCAGCGCTGCAGCAGCGCCGCCACGTCCACGCCGCCCATGCCGCCGCACTTGAAGCTCTTCGTCCACGTGATCAGCTCCCCGGAGTGGATCGAGTGCTGGCGCATCGGGAACGAGAACGTGAACCCTGCACGAGGATACATTATCAGTATAATAAGTTCTTATATATGATATTGAGACAGCACGGAGAGCGTTGGCTGTCCGCTGCAATATGCAGGTTCGCTCGCTGTACTGCAGATGTTAAAATAACCTTGTTCGAGGCCTCCTGCCAGTCTCTGTACACGTGCGCCCTGTGGATCACATATACGCAGCGGACATACAACGCTATCCGTGTCCAATATAATAATAAATTGAGGATGTTGTTAGGGCTCCCGCGCTACTGCAGTGCATCGGGTATGTTCGCAGATGCTCACTAAGATGACTTCCCTTCAGTGATGCGCAAGGGAATTGCATCGTTGATGCACAGGGTTCGTGTGAGCGCCAACAGTATTCTCGATGTTATCGGGAAAAAACCGGAGTGTGCCAGTCTGAGGCACTGGGTACATACACATGTTCATGTGACCGATGCCTCAGAAGGTATATATATGAAATAACTTTGTTTGATTGTTACTAACATTTCTATGAATCTAGTATCTGAAATAAAACATTATTATTATTATATTAAAAGGGTGGCAAGCAAGCAATGGCCCACCTGATGGTAAGCGGCCACCATAACCTGCCTACCCTGATTCGCTACCTCTTAGAGCCTCGGAACCTCACCAACAGAAACACAACACTATCAAAAGTTGTGTTATTTTACTGTGGGGTTCTGTAAAGCGGAGGTTGCTTCCCCAGACGATCACTCCGATTCGAGCGGGAAATACGCTATGCCCTATCTCAGCAGACGAAATAAAACTATTTAAATTTCAATTGCATAGAAGAGAAATAATCAAGACGACCTCGCTATTAAAAAAGTAAATAAAGTTATCGTTTGAAACAAAATTGTTCCACTCATTCCCAGTCAATGATAGAATACGAGTTTCTAATACTGCGAGAGTGATGTTACCAAGGGCGGATCCAGCTTTGGCGCCAGGGGTGGGTCATATAGCCAGCTTTGGCGCCAGGGTCATATAGTCGTGGTATATTAAATATTGAAAGTACTTAAATAAAATCCCCCTGGGTTTGGTCCATCTGTATCTTTGGTCCTGCTGGCATGGCCCATAATTACAGCATTGCTATCGAATACCTACCTAAAGACAAGGACTCCTTCTCCATGCCCTCAGAGCGCACGAAGTCCAACACACAATCAGCCAGGAAGTTGAACAAGTCTTCGCCTGACCCCAGACGTAAGGCATCGCTGCAATCGAAAAAGGATTGATTATGTACTATTTACTCAAGGTTCAGATTATCATGATTTAATCTAGCCAGTTTTTTTTTAATCAATACAACATTGATAACGTTGATAAGTAATTGATGAAGCTGTGCAAGAAATTATGCTTCAAGGAATTCCATTGATATGTGAACTGAGGAAATTAATTACCTTGAGACTATTCTTATTTTAGTAGGCGATTTAAAGCGTTAGTATATCTAGTGTTTTTCAACCAACATCCAATGAAAGCCATCTTTACTAAGATTTTATTTTTTGAAGCATTTAAAATTTAAAGAAAATATTACTAGTTTTTTTTTTCTAGTAAAACGCAACTCTTTAGCATCGTGTAACTAATTACAGTATATTCATGTCTTTCTGTCCATTCCAAAGGCTTGTGCCCCAGCAGTTTGCCCAGCACTAGACTGGATAGATGACGCTTGTAAACTCACCTAATATGGTACTGTTTGACGTCCTCGCGCACCAGTTGTCCGGCGCGCAGCTCAAGCAGCAGCACGCGGAAGTTGGTGCCGCCAAGGTCCAGAGCCAGGAATAGACCCTCCTCTGGAAGTGTAACAAGATTCGTGAAAATCTTACGTACACTTGATTTTGTTATGTAGTATTTGGCATGTCTAAGCAATACCATTTAGGTATTCCAAGAAAAGAATCTGAACCTTCAGCCTGGCAAACTTCTTCATCCAACCTGATATTAAACCATTAATCGAGTCTACCATCTAAGTTAATAACTCCTCGTATGGCAGATACAACATACATGCTACTCACTGGTGACTTGAAAGGAATACAACACGACATAATAGTGTTGTTCGGCTGCAGTTGTTTAAAATTCAGGAAAGAGTTTTGGTTGCTATTTTAGTGACATGAGTCCCTCTTTTCGACGAGCCTTTTAACTGGACGAAATGAGCGGGGAGTATTCTCATCAGGACTTTATTATTCTTGTTGGACGAGGTAGGCGCCACACCTTTCTCAGACATGAAACAAGGTGGAAAATACTTTACTGTGTGGGTGAAAAGTAATTTTTACCTCTCATTAGTGCGGTTATACAAACTGCTGCTCCAGCTGTTTTCGCGTCTGAATTTTACCAAAACTTAACATCAGGTGATATGGAGTTGCGATACCTAATTATAAAACCTCTTATCCTTGATCGCCTCTTAGTTTGTGCAGCAGGCTGAAATTCAATTATCTTGTGCTTTTATACTGACCGGTGCCATCAGGCAGCTCTGGCACGTATGTGTTCTCCATCTGAAGGCTGGAGGGCTGCTCGCTCAGTCCGCGCTGCAGCTCGTTCTCGAACACCGCCCCCACGCGAGCCAGCTCCCGCCCGCCCAAAACCATGCCCGACAGACGAGTGGTTATCTGGGAACAAATTATCATAATTTATGCTGTGATGTTCGGCCACCTTGTGCGACACAACGAATTTATCAGGAACATCATCGAAAAAGTAGACGGAAAGAGAGGAAGGAAGATAAAGAATAGCCTACACTAAAGAAAGCTGGCTTTGAGTGGTAGAAGGGGGTGAAAGAGCTGGCGGAAGACAGATGGAGATGGCAGGAGATTCGTAGACTGCACCGATAAGAGCATTGCTCTTATATTTATAGAGAGAGAGAGCCTTGTCGTTATCTTGGCATTCTATTGATGGTAATGCTGTGGCACAGACCTTTCAATATAGGGAAAATCCCAGGAAGAACGGCCTAATTTTGTTTAGTTGTGCCGTTCTTCTAAAGATTTTCTACTGTGCGTATTATTCGGTTCTCACAACTGAAAACGCAGTCAGGTCCAAGCTTCCACACTCACAGTGAAGACATATTAAATAAATCCTGCCAAAAGCTATAAAACTTATACTAAAATAATTTATCAAAATATGCAGAAATTTTGGTTGTTATTGATGTTTGCGATAACAAGACGAAAGACAGTTATTTAAGTTAATAAATTATTAAATTAAATTGACATCTCAAAATGCGATACTAAGTAGCCATAACCTGCGCCTGCGCACCAAAGCACAAGAGCTTAATCACTATAACTATGTGCGTAAAGAGATAGATTAGGTATACTCGTATACAGGTACTACATTTTTCTGTTATTCAAAAGTAAACACGTGTGAAGGTCGATTTGAGTAAATCGTTGAACCAGTAAAAAACCTATGATGATTATATTGTCATCAGTCGCCTGTTTACAAACTACACTCGACAATTTTGTTTAATACACGAAAAAAAATAGTCATTCATTTTAATGGATACGGTTGTTCATTTTTGTTCATTCGGTTCATTGATATCTTGCAATCGCATTACCATCTTTGCTAATATTATAAACACATTACCCTCCCTGCGCGTCGCGTTCCGCTTAGCTTGCGTCGCGTTTCGCTTAGCTTGCGTCGCGCAGTCGGGTAAATAGACTTTCTTTTACTTTTATATGTTTGCGACAAATAAACTATCTCTAAGTACATTCTGCTTCCTACTTAATATTATAAATGTGAAAGTTTGTATGTTTGTTACTCGATCACGCCAAAACTACTGATGTGATTTGGATGAAATTTAGTACGCATACAGTTTAAGACCTGGACTAAGGTATAGGATACTTTTTATCCCGGAAGAATGTTAGGTTTAAACTATGCTGAACGCAGATGAAGTCGCAGGTGGGCGCTAGTTGATTATAAAAATAAACTAACATATAATTTGCTTCGTGTTAAAATGAAATAAGTAAGCATTAACAGTAAACAGTAAAATTGTGCGATATTACAAGAATGATTTATGTAATCATTATGTATTGTCTTGGTGTTTACGTTAGTTGAATGTGGAGGTAACCGCGGCTCACAAAAACTGTTCGATTTGAATAAATAACATCCGCTTGGACATCAATTTTCGCAAATGATTTATGTAAATATTACGTATATATAAGTATATATTATATATGTCGATGGTTCTAACTTCAATATAGCATAGTTTTTTTTTATATAGCTATGCCTTCGTTCAAATTTGCGTGACATTTAATTTTAGTGAACAATTTGTGTTATATACTTATTCTGATATTTTGGTAGACCACATCAGCCGTAGTTAGAGGATAGGTTAAATTATATTACCCCGTATAAAACTAGAAGTAAAAAATAATAGGTAAAAATCCAACCCATATTTAAAACTTAAAACTAATCCGCCTAATGTTTTTCGCAAAGCAATCTGTCAACGTGGCTTTAATCAAGTTCTTGGCGCAAATTGGATTACCTGATTTATTCACAGATTCAAGAAATTCATCTTACCATCAAACTTTGTTAAATGAGCTTTTAAATTCATTGAAAACTATTGAAAGAGAAGTGTGTTATTCATTAATATTCTGAAAACTGACCAGAATTTTATTATTGTTACTGGGAAGTATTGTTAGAATTTATACCAGCTTAAGCCAGCAATTTCGTCCGTCTTAACCTTAGCTTTTGAGAATCTTACAGGAACCTAAATATTTTTTAGGCATAATAATTATTCTATGTATCAATCCAGGTAATAAACTATAAGTGTCCCCAATTTCATCGAAATCTGAGGCCGTATTAACTCTTAACACCAGGCAAGTTCCATTGTTAGAGCGAGACATCATTATACGCACAGTAGAGCGACATCCTACTTCAACCGCTGCGCTGTTCATTTTTGCCTGGCGTTACATAATACGGCCCCTGGCCCCCAATATCGAATTCGAATAGTTTGCGAGTCCGAAATGTCATGTTGGTACGTAGTACATACGTAGAAAATGTCACATCTCATTCACTAGTACTTATCTTATTTCGTTTTAATATATATATATATATATACTTAGTTACTTGTCGTGAACTACAAAATGTCATTGTTATCATTGGTATTGTAAATATGAATTAATTGGTACCTATTATAATCCCATTACTGTAAGCTTGAATATTTGTATCTAATCTACTAATCCGCTCGGTGGTGGGTAAATCGTGCATATTTTAGAAACCTGTTTTTGTAACCATTATTTATTACTCAATTAACTATTTTCTGGAAAAGCGGATCTTTAATTTACAAAAGATCATCATTTATTCATTCTCATTCAGAACAATAACTTGTTTAAAAGTGCTACTATATTACGGATACAAAATATAATATATTTTTATTTATTTATTTGCATTTGGAAAACGTACAGTTTCACCCAATTCAATTAAGTAACACTTATTACTTTACAATAAACCAGTTAAGATTCCACAGACTGAAACATTTATACACTTACATAATTTTCTTAAAATAATGTACAATTTAGTTATGTGAATACCATAAAGATCAATTTTTATAGGTGCTACTTACATATTTGACGACCTCTGTGGTCGAGTGGTTTGTACGCCGGGTTTCATGGTGTCGCCGACTCGAGAGGTCCCGGGTTCGAATCCCGGTGGGGGCAGATGTTTGTGTGATGAATACAAGCATTTGTACCCCAGTCATGAATGCTGAATATGTATTTCTATATAAATATGCTTATATATGTACAGAGTATGTATTCTATCCGTTACCCTAGCATCCCATAACACAAGCCTTACAGTGCTTACTTTGGGGCTAGGCTAATTGGTGTGAGTGTTGGAAATATTTATTTATTATTTATATATGCTAGTTTGCCACCTTTTAGCTAAAAAAGCAATAGCTAAAAACCTGTTTTAAAATATTCAGTCAAGTGTTATATACTTACATAAGGATGTATTTCTATTATATGTAAGATACGAGAATAGAACGTAGTAGTCTAGTAATCTTAGAAGTTAGACTTGCACGTATTTCAAATTTCTAGATAAGATAATGATTATAGTAAGTATTTAAATACATACTACATTATACTTAGTTATTTTGCTTTAATCCTAGATGATTATTATATTTATTAGAAGTACCTACAACATAATTATGAAAATAACAACGGACGTTATTATATAAAATGAGGTACCATGTTTCCAATCCCAGAAAAATATTGTTGTGTTGCCAGTAATAATTAAAATCATCACAATATCGAAATAAGGCTAAACTTATTTATATAAATAGACATTTTTGGCAGCAAACTCCTGAACTTGAGATTAATTACGAGTGGGAGAGGGCATAGCGGAGTTCCCGGAAAACTGGAGCGTCCGTTTGGGGAAGTTACCTCCACTTTACAGAAGATTACAGTAAAATAACACTACCTTTTGGTGGTGTTGCGTTTCTGTAGGCGAGTAAGGTTCAAGGGCTCCACGCATTAGGGGCTTGGGTAAGGGTTAGGGTTACTATTTAAAAAATTTAAAAGTCCTGACAAAAAGCCGGACATTTCTATAAAAGTCCGGACATTTTAGTCACAAAATGCAAACATCACCCACTTAGTAACAGCTATAATAAACGCGTGGTAGCAGACGCTCGCACCAGGAGGGGGATCTCGTTGTTGATTTTTAAAGAGGGTTTATATTTTGTTTTAAATAAATGAGAACTTAATAAAGATAATTAGACTTATTTGATATAACTTAATAAGTAGTTTTACTCATGTTCCATCAAATTAAAAAAAAAGTCCGGACAAAAGGCAAAAAATCCGGACATATCCGGATAAATCCGGACGGATGGTAACCCTAGTCGGGGTAGGCAACGCAACGGTGCGAGTGATATTTTTGGTCGTAAGTATCGCAAGCGGCTATAGGCTATTGGCTATGGGCTATGGTGGCCGCTTACGATCTGGCGAGCCACGCGCTTGTTTGCCAGCCACCGTTTTAGCATAAAAACAAATCTATCAATTAATGTTTAATTATGAAAGAAAACCTTATTGTCAAGAAAACGTCAATGGAAAACCTACAGACAGATACAGTGTTTGTGAAGATTTTATGTCCGATAACGAACAACCTACACTAGTAGATCTAGATCTAGACGTTTTATTAAATGATTTGCGCCTTGAAATGGCGTGTGCCGCTCGTTAGGTTAAATCTATCTGTCACGTCACGTCACGTAGATAGCAGCTTGCCAGTACACACGCACACACGCACACACGCACACCATAATATAATGTAACAACACAACATTATCAGAGAATATATACACTACATTATACAGAAGGCAGGCCCGCAGAGCCGCGTGACCAGTAAGTAAACAGGTGTGGCTCATGTTTACATTGATAGAATTCGCGGTGTTTAAGTTACGCAAGTTATTAACATTTAATTGTAGAGAACGTAGGACCGGATGGCATATTTGATATCGATTTTGTTCCGACACAATATTGAGGGTTGACCTATGTCTTCTTTTTCTTTTTTGTAGGGAAATTCTTGCTGTCTGTCTAGCCAGCATTGGGCATGGAAGACTGAATTTACGCTGCAGTTTTTGCAAAACAAGCTCTGAAAAGTTTGAATATGTCGGTAAATTAAAAGTTCTTAC